AAAAAGTAGATGAGATATTGCTGGACACGCTCTAGCAACTTTCATTCTTGTTAACCGGTTCTCGCGCTCCGCCTTTCTTATGTTGGTAATTAAAGCCTCAGTACACATAATAAAAAGGTAAGAAGACAAAGGATCACTTTGTCTGAGACCTCTCTGCGGGAGAATAAACCCCTTGGTTGACCATTTATCAACACTCGATACTGAACAGACGATATACATTCCATCATAAGCTTTGTCCAGTGAGGATCAAAACCCAACTTGTGAAGCAAAGCTTGAATGAAACCCCATTCCACCCTATCATATGCCTTACTCATGTCCGTTTTTATCGCCGTAAACTTTCCCTGACAAGATTTATTAGCTCTCAAACCATGAAACATTTCCTGAGAAATGAGGATATTATCCGAAATTAACCTCCCAGGGACAAAAACTGATTGGGTCTCTGAGATTAACCTGGGTAAACAGCTTTTCAACCGTTGGCATAATACTTTTGAGATGATCTTATAGCCAACATTACAAAGACTTATCAGTCTAAGCTCAGTCATCCTTATAGGTCTCTTCGTCTTCGGGATCATACAAATATGAGTAATATTTAAACGAGCATCCAGAATTCCCGAAACCAGAAAATCATTCACCATCTCTACCAAATCCTTTTTAACAATGTGCCAAGAGTGCTGAAAAAATCGCTGTCATGCCGTCAGGTCCAGGTGCCTTCGAGCTATGCATCATAAATAAAGCTTGTCGAACCTCCTCCTCCGTGGCCGTCCTTAACAACCTTTGATTCATTTCTGTTGTGATATTGGAGGGGATTTAGTCTAGGAAACTATCAAATTCTGAGGGAGAAGTAGAAGTAAACAACTCCTCAAAATAGTTCACTGCTACTTGTTCCACCCCATTTTCCTCTGTTATCCAATTTCCCGCATCATCGTGAAGCCCCACAATTCTATTACGCACCCGCCTTTGTTTTGTTAAAGCATGATAAAACTGGGTGTTAAGATCCCCCGAAGAAGACCACATAGTACGGATACCAGTATTCCTCTTCATCCTTGTATGCATCTTGTAATTTCCTAGAGACTTCCAAAATATCCTCTTGTGTCCTATTATCATCCATCTGTACCTCTTCAAGCGCTCTTTGGAGATTTTGAATTTTTTCCTTTCCATATGGTGGATTGTTTTTCCGCCACTTTGCGATTTCATGACGACAATTACTAATGTTTGTGACCAAGCTGCCCACCTGTCCATCAGTTTCTTCTGTCCAGCCAGCAACAATTGATTCCATAAAGCCCTCATGCCCAATCCATCTCCTATCAAACCGAAACTGCCCACCTGTCCATCAGTTTTGAACTTTATCCTCCATATTTGCGACCACTGATTGGTGATCGGAGCCAACCATCCCCAAGTATTATGTATAGGAACAGAGGAATAATGTATGGCATTCCTCATTTGCTAGTGCACGATCAAGACGACACCTTATCATCACCGCTCCTATCCCTTTCCATCTTCTTCCTTGCCATGAAATTTTGTTACCACGAGCCGGAAATTCCAGTAAACCACTATTTCGAATCATATTGTTAAAAGGAAGAAAAGAAGCGAAAATCCGTAACGCATCCCCTTCCTTTTCATGATTTCTAGTAATCTCCTATGATAAACCAAGGTTCCGATCTTGCTAAATCATACCAAGTTAATCGTTCCCAGACTTGCTCCCGTAAATCTTGTACCGGGTCGCCATACACAAAGGTCATATAAATCTTCTTCCCGATCGTCTCTGCTTCCACATCAATCATCCGATTGCTAGAATATAAAATATTTACATGATGCTCATTATTGTAAAAAAGAACGAGGCCCCCACTCCTGCCTACTGGATCCACCGTAACCAAATTATCATATCCAAAATGTGTTTGAAACCATTGTACAAAATCAAAATTTTGTTTTGTTTCTGATAAAACCAAAAAATCTGGTCTATGTTTGTGCCATATTTCCCTCAGATAGCTAATTGTCCATTTACTTCTCATTCCTCTATAATTCCAGCTTAATATTCTCATAATAAAATTGAAAAAATGCTCGCAAGAGCCCTTGAGAAAAGGGTATGATGGAACCCAAATCCCTGTGTAAACAATTTTCTTAACAAAGTAAACCAAAAGAACCAACATAAAATCTTATAGATTAATAATGTTCTCCTCCCACTTAAACCAGAGGTCTTCTCCAACCTTGAAACTCCGTCAATTATTCTCCCCTGCCACAGACACTCCATAATCTTGCTTCGTAATTGTAGAACCGTGAAAAGAGAAACTGGTAGTTGGTTTGATGAGACTCACCACTGCCATAACTCGACCATAAACCAGTGTTCCATGATCTGAGAACAGAGACTCATCCAGCAACCAAACCGTAATACACCATCAGCTAGTAAAATCAATAGTAACATCCAACGTAACCAATATTGTCTAAACACAAAATGGGCATAGCCACAAGCATACCATTAAACACCAAAAAAACATCAATATTATTCCAAAACACAAACTCTTACCAATGGTACGACCCATCCAATATGATAGGAGAACAACATAAAGAGACCACAAAAACCAAATGCTGAGACAGCTTATTTGAAACATAAAGAAAAAACAACCATAAGAAAAACACAGAACAATTCTTGTATCCTTCTCTATCATTAAAAACTAATCCTTGGAAGTACTTGCCTTAGGGTTTAAGGAACCCTTCTCATTCACCTTCTTGCTTCCATCATCCTGCCGTGTTGGTGCCTTTGTGGAAGTACGCTTGCTGTGAGCTATGATATCCTGCACCATCCTCATCTTGGAGGTACCAGCTGCACCAACAGTTCCAGCTTTGAAAGGTTTCTTCTTGAGTCCCAGTTTCTTCCCCTCCTCCCCCTCAACCTTGTCTTCACAAACTCTCCCTCTTCCTTAACCTCCTCCTTATCGCCTACGTCCCCACGGTCAACAGAGACCTGAGTTCCAGCATTTGTCACTTCGCTTTCTGAAGATAAAGAAGAAGAAGAAGAAGAAGAAGAAGAAGAAGAAGAAGAAGAAGTTCCAGCTTTGAAAGGTTTCTTCTTGAGTCCCAGTTTCTTCCCCTCCTCCCCCTCAACCTTGTCTTCACAAACTCTCCCTCTTCCTTAGAAGAAGAAGAAGAAGCTGTGGGGAAAGCAAGCAAGCAAAAGCGGTGGGGAAAAAGAAGAACAAGAAGAGAGGTAGCAAAAGCGGTGGGTCAATAGCGGAGGGGGCATTAGGTTTAGAATGGAGAAGGTCTAAGCTCCGGAGTGTGACCTGAAGACAGCGACATTGGAGCTCTTGTTTTGACGAGGTTGGTCGTGGTGTGGTGCAGCGCTAGGATAGAACTTTAGGTTTAGAATTTCAAGTAGGTATAATTTGTTTTTTCTTAAAGAAATCTCTGGTTTGGTTTAGTTTTAATCAGATTTATGTAACCAATTTTGAGATATATATATATATATATATATATATAAAAACTTTTAAAATAATTGTATTTTTGATTTGTTTCTATTTATTAATAATGCTATAATATCAATTATTATCTGCTATATATTATAAGTCATAAAATTGCACAAATTAAACAAAATGCTATTGAACTAATACTTTAACATAGCATACAGAAAAACACCGTATAAAATGCTAGAGGAAAGATTGCAGGGACAGACACAATGTTCGCAATAATTTTATGCTATCCTGTAATAATGTTTTCCGTACGCTATACCTATAATAACGTTTTCCGTACGCAATATTTGTGACATTTTCTTGTAGTATAGACAAAAGTCCAATTACTAGGTATGTATAAATAGATATGAAGTTTACAGGAGCATCATTGTATCCACAACATCTAAGCCACTCGAGTTAAAATGAAGCCATCACTTGAAACAATATATGAATAGTTAATACCTTCAGTAGAATTATGGTTTTTCTGCATCAGCCAAAAATAAGAATGGTAGATTAAAAACAAGCAAATCTGAATGAACAAATATCAACACAATGACCATGGATATATTTCATTTGTATTTAAAAATTAATATATTGTTTATAAAAATTGTGATAAAAGCAACGACAATGGCATTTCTAATGTACCTTTGAATCGACAATCAGATCAGCATACAAAAAATGTAGAATCAACTCAGAAAATAAAATAGCTCAAGCTTTTTTTTTTTTTTTTTGAAACACAAAATAGCTCAAGATAAAACCAGGAAATCTGAAATGAAATGGAAACAATGGAGGTAAATGTAAGCTTGGACCAAAATACCAAAAACCAGTCGATGGTTTCAGGTTATGGAGAAAATCTAGCTTATAAGGAAAGGTAGAAGGCGGAAGCATAAATCCTCTTCATGTCTTTTTAAAGATCTTTCATAGCATACACAACAATGGTTAAAAACTGAGGAAGATAAAACAAAATTAAAACAACATAAATGAAAACTGATCTGTAATCACAAAATGGTTTGCTTGGTATGAAAAATATTAATTTCCTGACGTGGCAATTTTAGAATGTTTCAAAATGCTGATAATCATCTCCTAGATAGACACAAGTGGTATTATACTGTTGCTTTATTTTTGCTTTAAAAGTTTAACGTAATTTTACATGTGAGTTTTGGATGGATTACATTAGATTTATTTCTAATGTATATTTTTTTGTTAGTCTTATCGGAATAACAAGCATTTTAATTTCATTAAAAAAAAACCAATTTTTCTTTGATTTTGTCCATCTTAGAGAGCATCTATATTATTTTGTTGGCCTTTTGCATATTTTTTTGACAGATATATAACTCTTTGCATAACCAAATAAAGACGATTACTTAACATTGAGACTTAAATATAATATTGTCGAATATCTATTTTTTATAGTATCATATATTTTTATAAAAGAATAAATTTTGTTGAAACTAAAACTTATATAAAACTATATACTCAAGAAATAGTTAAAACTAGCATGGCGTCAGTAGATATATAAAAGGCCAATCACTAGGTATGTATAAATATATATTAGCTTTAGAACATCATTATTGTATCCACAACATCTAAGCCACTCGAGTTAGGATTGGAATTGTACTTTGGACGTGGTTCCTTGCAACTTAGTGGTGTCGGTGTTGTCTTTTGTAGCAATAACTCAACTAGCTGTTTTGAATTCGGATTTGACAGTTCTGGATGTTTCTGAAATAAGGAATGAAAATTAATTTAAAAAAATACTGGGAAATTAGTAAAAATATTAAGTATTCTAAAAATTATCACAATCAATGATTTGATAAGAGTTAAAAAGAACTGAATGGAATGTGCACACCTTGGTAGCTAGTGCCGACGCTTCTTTAGTCATTATGAGAATTCCAGTTTCTGGATCAGGTGTACATAACTGTAGTAAACTTTCCTGTAAACTATTTAGATAATCAATTCTCCTTACAATAATTCTCCAGCTGAGTTTAAGACCGGTTTCCCCAGAAAAAAATTGAACAATTTGGTTTCTACTGAGTGGATCATATTTGCGCACTTCGAGGTACACTTGGAGGAACATTACGTCAAGATCAGGTGTCCAATTTATAGTCTTATACAAAAAAGTATTAAGAAAATTTGTGACCCAATACCCTTTTTATGTGCTTAAATCATGATCCTTATTCACCACATGGGTTGTGGAAAAAAATTACTTACTATCTTATCGTTAGCATTTTTACCGATACAGCACAAAAGATTCATTTTCGACGGTGAATGTTGTTTCACCTGGATAGATATTAAAAAGAAATATGTAAAATTTTCTCCTTTTTTTCCAAACCATATAAAACTGACTTGTTTTGATCAAAAAAGTAAAACTGACTTGTAAGCACTTTTAGTAAAAACATATATTTAAGTTTTGGTTTTATTAAAATACAAAAACTTTGATGACAAGAAAAAAAAACTTAAGAAACCTCGAAAATATATAAAATAGAAGATATTTTTAAAGCTTAAAGAATTTTATTTTACAACCAAAATGGAATAGATGTCAATTAACCTGAGCAAATAAGAAAGTATTGTTTTATGTGTTATGAAAGACTTGAAGTATTAAAGGTTCAAGGGTACAAGATTATCCTTAAATAGTGATCGACGAATCTAGAGATACGCATCCGCGTGTGTAGTAGTCATTAATTTAGAAAAAATTAAATGAACATTGAATAGGTAACATGTTTAGTAATAATTGAGAATCCATACCATTTGCAAAATTCTAGCATGCTTATACACAACGATTCAATATTCAATGTCTGAATCTTAAATGAAGAACTAGATTTTGGTGTTGGATTCCACCTTTCTGCTCATTTTTTTTTTATGATTAATGTTGTATATTTTACATGTGTCACTATCCCGTTAAACCTAAAAATAATTAAACTGGACATGATGTATAATTTTTAATATAATTTTATAATTAAACATAAAAATAAATTTTAAAAGTAAATCTCATACTAGATCGACATAATATAATGTTTAATTTAGTTTTATTTCTTTTCCTTGCGCGGAATAGAAGATTGAAAAATATATTATTTTAATCGTGTGAAAAACATAGTTACATTTATTTTTAAAATAATAAAATTAACCAATAAAAATTGTTGGACCAACAAAACAAATGTATCAATTCTTTAGACCTGAAAATAATTAATTACTGTTACATCGACCTTGCTCTCCCATTTAAAGGGCATCAAGAGTGAAAGAGAGATCAAGTTAATAATATAAGTTCATTCTCTTGTTCTTGCATCTCTAGCTTTTCTTGTTCGTTACTTTGCTTACCTAAGAAGAAAAATACTATAGTTAGTATAAATATAAATATTGAAGCCTTACTATATATTTCACAGCACATTATTAGCACGAACGTTCTAATACATGTAAGATAAGCTTTAATATATGTCTTTCAGCATATTAAAATTATAGAAATTCTATTATTATTTCGGAGTAAAGGTTCTGCATTTTCCGTTTATTTTTCGGGTTGATAGGCATTGCCTTATCCGACTAATTGTTATGATCGATTATGCCTTTAAAATCAAAAGACCATATGATAGGCTTTGTCTCCATAAATAAAAAGAGAGAAAAATGTCAAAATGATAGACTATATCTCTTTGGACCTTGAATAAAAAATAAAAATGTCAAAATGATAATTTATGTCTCCTTGATCCTTCATTGGGTTATGTCAAATAGTATTTTGTTGAACAACAAATCTATACGCATTATTGAAGACGAAATAGATAAAACATTTAATTTTAAAATGAATCCATCACTTGAACCAATATACAAATAGTTACTACATTCAGACGAATTATAGTTTTTCTGCATCAGCCAAAAAATAAGAATAGTGTATTACAAACAAGAAAATCTGAATGAACAAATATCAACACAATGACCATGGATATATTTCAATCTATTCATTTGTTTTTAGAAACTACTGTATTTTCTAGAATGCGATAAAAGCAACGGCAGTGGCATTTTTAAAGTACGTTTGAATCGACAGTAAGATCTGCATACAAAAAATGTGGAAGCAAATCAGAAATTAAAACCACTCAAGCTAAAACCAGGAAAATCTGAAAGGAACTGGAAATAATGGAGATAAAATGTAAACTAGGATTAAAATACTAAAAACCAGTCAGCGGTTTCAGGTTATGGGAAAAATCTATTTTTTATGAGTATTTATTAACATAGTTAAGCGGCGACTGATACTCCTGATGCTCTGTTGATTAATGCTATGTAGCCATCGTCGATTCGTGTGGAAACTCATACTTCTTTGGATAGTAACGCTGCTAGAGTGCCACTCGGCGGGACTGCTACGGTATCAGTCGGTTTCCTTGACATATTCTCGATCGATTCTTTTGATACAGTGTCGATCGATGCGACAATGCTTCTGCTACAGTGGTGCTTCTGCATTACTGTTCACCTTATGACCTCATACTGGTGGCATTGAAAATCTAACTCAAAGTTCTATATTGTGTCAAAATATGATCTCGGTATAACAGTGGGACGGTCTCCATCCATAGCTAAACATCTGATACGTCTGTGCAGTCCCACACTCAAAAGGCTCCAGAAGACACCAAAATCACCATATTTTTCCAGAACGTACCTGAATCTGTAAATGTTGTTAAAAGACTCTACATCGTAGTAAATATATCTTTAAACACTTATATAACATGGATGAAAGTGGGTCAAAATCATGGTATATCACTGCTCTATACATTTTTAAAAGGAGATAACCCATGAAAAACAACACACGAGGTAGTTTCCAGGCCGACAAAATTCCAAACAAAATGCCATCAGCAGCAACATGCCTGAAATTCCTAAACGAAAGATAAATGAACCGTAAAGGTCTCATTGGAAAACAAGGTTGTAAGAACATTAACTCCAAAACGAACTACAAAAGGCTTGATCCTTTTAATAAGGATAAATAGGCAGCCTTCATAAGGTGCAGTCCCAATCTTACCGCTTTCCACTCCTAGGAGAATGAGAATACCACTTTCAACAGACCTTTTCAATCATTAATTCCACCTAACTTGCCAGTCATTAGAACCTCACGCTAAAAGCTCACGGTTCTAAAGGGGGGGGGTAACTATTGGGGTCAAAATCGGTCATGACGGAGTCAATGACTAAAAGTCTCCAGAAAAAGCATACGAGAAAACTATATACTTCCTATGGAGATACGAAGTTACGAAAAAATTGTATCAAACTACGAAGCAATTAAAAAAGACATAATACGGGTCAAACAACCAAATTGGAACACATACAACATCAAGTTGGACACACACCGTCCACCTCTCCATCGGGCAAGTAGGACCAACAAGTCTAACTCGCTAGTGGGCAAGTTGTACAAGCTACGTCCAACTCGCCATTGGGCGAGTTGGACCAGATACATCTAACTCGTTATTGGGAGAGTTGGAGTTATTGGGCGAGTTGGAAAAGCTCCATCAAACTCGCCCAATGGCGAGTTGGAAAACATTCATCAAACTCACCTAATGGCGAGTTGGATCAACCAATTAACAGGGAAAGTTGGAAAACCTTCATCGAAATCGTCCAATGGCGAGTTGGATCAACCAATTAACACATGTTCCACCGTCATAGCTTCCTCCTTTGAGCCTCGAATAAAATGTCTCTTGTTTTGTCTCGATCAGAGTTACCATTTGAACTTTACGATAAAAGTCGCAAAGACCTGGTTTCTCGTATATGTTTAAACCAATCGTATAAAACGGCTACGGTTAACTAAAACACCATAGTTTCCTTAACTATAAATTTTTTTTAAGATATTTTGTAAAACAGACGTCTCAAAGAAATCGTAAAAACGCTTAAGTGGCAATACCCAAAATGGTCTAAGGCGCGGCGAAAAGCTCACTTACGAATTTTGACGAGAATAAGTCCAAACTACTATGACGGTCTATATTCAATTCACAAAAGATATATGTCAAGTTTCAAAAGGATAAATATGAAAATCAAAGAAAAATGGAATATTTCTGCGAAGAGATAAACTCGAATCAAGGGAAAAACCGGAAAGATGGCCAACCTTGGCTACATATATAAGGGGAGCCAAGGCAAGGAGCACAAGTACAATTCTCTTAGACTTAGAACTCTCTGCACTTAGAAACCCTAAGCTTTATTATCGACAAGTTTGATTTCTATGACTAGCACTCGGTTACTAGACAAACTCGCCCAAGCAGTTCGATCTCTTCTCCAAGTTGTTTAATCGAACTACGTTCGGCTTGATCCTCAAAAGGGGTACGTAAACAGTCTTTCATAAGGTTCAGTCCGAAATCATTCAAAATCTCTTTTCGTATTTTTTTCGTCTTTTGTTATCGAGCTACGACTTAACTAGGTTTAAGGTGTTTGGTTGCTAAAACTAGGTAACTCGCTGACAGCTCTTGCGGTCGAAGCTTTTATAATCTCTTGTAAAGATCTCACGTGGATTCGAAATAAGATCTAGTTTTTCTATAAATTCGTTTTTGTTATCTTTTTGTATTTTCCGCATCTATTTGGTCACTTGTCGTTGGCTCTTGCAAAGATCCCGGACCTCTCGAAAATTAGGATTTTCTTAACTTTCCTTAATTTACGAAAATCAACTGTGTGAATTTTGGTTCCCAGATTGATTATTGCGTACATTTAACAAAAAAACCTTCAGCTCAATTAGTAATCCTCATAGTGCACCCCAAAAAATCCAGGTTTATTTCCTTGTTGAGGCCTTTTGTCAATAAGTTTTTGATCTAAACAGTATATTGAACCCAGCAGAAATTATTGATGGGGTCTGCTCCTGAATATAGAGCTTCTTCTGTATAAGCCCCATACTTTTTGCTTGTTTTCTAAACAATTAAAATTATCATACTATTAATTGGGACCATGCTTTAGTTATAACATTATAATTTGATTGGCTGCTTAACTCATTGTTCTAGGATGACCAGTTATACGTGAATCATCAATATGCCTGGGATTAGCCAATCATAAGTTGCTGACATGGCTAACTCATGATAGCTTCCATAAACCATTTTTAATTATCGCTTTTTTCAATCTCGTTTTGTCTTAATATATTCTCTGGTTATCTTAATCACACTTTCTTGGTTGTAATCCTCTAATTTTGGTTTAGTTCCTACCATATTTCTATTACATTACATATTTCGTTTGTATATTTTCGGACATTAATGGTTTCTTGTAGGATTTAGAGTATAGGTTACAAGACCAAATTAACGTAACATACAATATATACTTGA